GGGAGGAAGGGGAGAATGTTTTTCATGGGGCGGATATCTTTTACAGTTTTGTGGGGGAATGTGTCTGAGGAGTGGGTATAATGTTTACGTCTACTAGATGAATTACATACGTTTTGTTTGACCTTGGTTTTCTAGAAGTGGATGTTTTCAACTGGATCGAGAATTAAGCATCGAAATGACTGCCGAAGCAGCACTCAAATTTCCGGGAAAGGACCCCCTTGCTTTCACAACATACACTTATCTAGGTAATAAGTTTCCGGTTCTGACGCAGCTCAGAGATTTGATCTTGCAGGGAACCCGAGCCATTGAGCCATGTGCCTGTCCAACGCCTCAATTCCTGCACGTGATATCACCGAAGGCACCGAGCCACTCGTAACTTGCTGGGTTATACCTGTATCTTTGCAGTCTTGCAACTTGTTCTACGAGCACTTTACTGTCGTTGCTAAGTTTGAATTCGCTTTTAGCATAACGTATGTGGCAAGCGAGCGGCGTACGCTGACCCCGCCAACAGTAGCCATTTAGCGTTCACCACAACGCTCGTGTAACATCGAAACTTGGCGTGGGGCAGCATGGAGGGTGTGATTACCCGGGCAAGGTGCATGGTTGCTGCAGGTGCTACAAAAAGATAAAGCGTTGATGGCTCCCCATCGACTCCTCCTAAGCATCTATCTCCTACGATCACTACCATACCTCATCAATCCCTATAACTCCATCGTGAAATGGGTTTTCTGTCCCTTTTACTCTATCTTATATTTAAATCCCCACTTTCCTCTATGGCCATGCAACAAAACCATGTGGATGCCGCACCCAACGACTGTGCCATGTGCCTATCAAAGGGCGAATTCCGCTGCACCAAGTGCCAGAGCATCAGCTACTGTTCCGAAGAATGTCAAAAAGCCGATTCACAATGCCACCAACTCCTCTGCACTAAGTTCACCCAGCAAGGCGCCCGACCCTCCCCACAACATCGCCTCGGCCTCGAATTCCCAGACTCCGGCGCCGGTCCACGTTTTGTTTGGGTGCAATGTGAAATGCGTTATGAAGACAATACTCTGTACCAATTTCGAAATATAAAACCTTACTTTGACCACGCATCGGGATACACGTATCCAAGGCAGCGCATCATACGACGGAACTTGAGGCTCGATCGTCCCCTACGCGACGCTATTGAGCTTACAAGTCGAGATGGGTTTCTAGTAGATGGGTCGGTACATAACCCAGCTGTGTACTTGGCTGCATCGTTTGGAGGCCTAGGAGAAGTACCAGGGGATTGGAGAGGGCCTGTTGTTGTGATGAGAGCAAAAGGTTGTGGTGTTGATCCAAATCCTTATTTGGACATCACCATGGATGACTTCCGATGCGTTATGGATTACTTTTGCAATTTTGATGATTGACCGTATGAGGGCGACGCTGACTAGTGTCGCGAGGCGGAAGAATGTTATAGGGAATGTTGATCTTAGAATGGGAGTAAGATAGCTTGGAATGCGATAACTTGGGTTTCCGTGCAGTGTGTAAACCGGAAGCCCATTGTGCAAGCGAGTGTAAGTAGCGTCAGTACCAAAGCAAAGTCATCAAAAACTCAGATCTAATTTTTTTTTCCTAAACAATCTATAACAACATGAAGCGAGCGTGTCAGGCGTATCAAGCCCTTGAATCAAAACAAGCCATTAAAGAGCGTCCTTCCCATCCCTCGCTCCCTCAATTCCCCCAAACAAACAAAAAAGAACAAGAGGAAAACTACATCCCTCATCTGAGTCCCTCATCCCTACCACATTTCTCTAAGCGCAGTAATCAGGCTTTCCAGCTCCGCCATCAACACACCTCCCACAGGGAACGCGTCCATTAATCCACACCAGAGCGTCGCCCGCACTACCGCACTTGAACAGCGACTTGTCGATCTGGTCCATGGCCGGGTACTGGCCATCGTTCCAGGTGCTGCGGAGGCACTTGCTTTGAATTTCGTTGTTTGTCCAGCCTGTTGGAAGGGGGAGATGTTAGTTCGGACGGGTTAAAGGGGGAGGGGGGTAGATGTACCGCGGGCGGACTTGAGCGTGCTGCCGCAGTAGAGTTGGTGGGTGTCGCACTTTGAGGCGGAGGCGGTAAGGGCCAGGGCGGCGAAGGCGAGGAGGGGCTTGATGGAGAGCATGATGCTTGATGGATTGGTGTTTGGACAGTGAGGTTGGTGAATTTGAAGTTGTTGGAAGTGGATGATGAGATGATTGAGCTGATGATGGTTTAGATTTTTGAGATGTCACTGCTGGTTTTATATTTTCTCTTTCTCTATCTCTTGCTCGATTTCTTGAGTACGTTCATCTTCGCAGCTAAGATCATCGATACTGTGTGATGCTGGTGTTGCTACGAGATCCACAGTGTGTTCAGCTGCGGGTAATACATCGCCGCTGGCGGAAGAGTTGCGGTCTCAGAAATGTAGTTCTTTTGGGAGGTTGAAATTGAAAGAGTGGGTCGATGGTTATTGGAGTTACATTGCGCGTAAGAAGGATTTAGCAGTTGGGCGGTCACTGTACCAGCTGAAGTACCTAAGCGAGCGTTGCGGTAAGGAAACACCTGAGCGGTTATTTTGGCCGGCTGAGACAAGCTTTCTCGTTCCCCACACTTCGTTTTTACCAGGTTACAGCTCTTGTTTATCTTTGCTAAATTAATGCGAATTTCTTACATCACACCACTTTTGTATTGCAAAAATTCCCAATCGGTCTGGGGAGGTGAGCTGCACTGCCTCTAACTGCCCTGATATAGAGTGTCGTCTCTTGAATGTATTTCCTATATTATTTTAGTGCCTTGGGCATGTACCATACATATTGATTACTCCTGCCGGTCTTTTCACAAGAAGCAGTTCTTCTAATAGACTCGCATTTGAATTTTTTTTCTTATTGCTCTTTGAATATCCTGAAAGGGGTTCCGAATTTTACAAACTCGACAAAAACCACATCTTCGATGTGATACTCGCAGAGAGAATATATGTCTCTTTGAGATATTTCAAAGTTGAAGGTGAAGTATCACATTCTCCTTTATACACATGAAGCATATCCATCACTGCACCAGTGTCCACGATCATCAAGATCTCTCCCTAGACAATTCTCCGCATACCCTCTTCACTCACAGTTCATCCTTACCACCGTTCCACCCATCCCCCACACCCCTCATCCACTGCACACCCACCAATTTCAACCCCTTCTTCGCCACCAACTCCTCAGCCCTAAAACTCCTTCGCTCCACAAACTCCTCTCCTCCAATCTCCGCCCTTTCCAGAGTCTCACCCTCTTTCTCCTCAAAAAGCAGAAACAGATAACGATGCGGGCCACTCTCGTCCTTGGGTCCAGGCGCAAGATATTGCGTCAACGTCTTCCCTTTCGAGGTAATATCCTCGGTCGGGGAAACAGTCGAAGGAATAGAAGTAATGACCCAATGGCGCCAATAAGCGAATTTCGGGTCGTCAGGCGTGGGCGCATCTGGATCAATCATCATGAAAGCATATGTTGATGCTGAGGATGAGGAGTTTGGTGTTGAAGAGATGGAAATGACGGGTTGTTCCGCGATCTGGCTGACGCGCGCGAGACTTCCCCTTTCGGGGGCAAGACCTGATGGGAATTTGACGGATAGATCGATGGTGGGGGTGAAGGAGTCTGGGATCACGGATGAAGGGAGGAGGTTTGCGCTCTTGAGCGCGTCGACGAAGGAAGTGGCGGCCATGATGATAACTTTTGATTCAAACACTTGTTGAACTGAAATTGGAATTTCTACTAAGGAGAAATGGATGACTTGTATTTATGAATTTTGCGTGGTGGTAAAAGGGATTTTGATGCGTGATTGAGGTGGGAGCGTGTGATTGGTGGATAAACCTCAACTTTGCTTGGTATTCTGCTGAGTTGTCCACTTCTGCTTGGCGTTCACTTAGAAGGGCAAAGTTTCGGTATAAGATGAGTAACAGCGAGGTGGGGGTTAAGAGAATACGTATCCTTACAAATTCTGGGCTTTCAAATATTACGTTGTGAAGAGACATGAGATGACTATGCAGCCGTCTTCATCAAGAATACTAGGACTTGAGCAAACTTTGGACAAGGGCCAGCGCAAGAAACGATGTCCTGGGCGGTAGATGTGATGTCGTACTATTCTTAATTGACGTTTATCACAGCTACATGCGACGTTGGATCTATTCGATATTGCGAAGTGCCAGCCTCGAGCTGTCATTTTCGGACAACTTCACTCGGATAACTCGACAACCTACCGGAGATTCGTGTCCTTTTAAATATCTCTCATTAAACGCGAAGACTACGACACTTGTTCTCATGATGCTGAGAATCAAATGAAAGAGAAGAGCTGCAGGGAAGTGGTTGACTCCAAGCTACTATCACGAAATGTACAAGGGTCAACATCGTGTCGATGAGCTGGCGAAAAGCAAGTACCAAGACTATATCTACTAGCCAGTTCTATCCAGGGTCATTAAAACATGGAGGTCGCATGCATAACGTGATGGAGGAAGGTTTAGGAATGCCCGTCAGCTTTGCTATACGCGGAAACTGTTTTAATCCGCTCGTCGTATAGGACATATCGTATATGCACTCCGTGTTCGCTATCCACAAAATCACGTACAAACATCATACTACTCTATTAGCATCAGCATCATCACTTACTCAGATCAACAGAGTACATCACACTGCCCTAGATTTAGCCTTACATGTCATCCGACCAGCCACATCGTTTTCGTAGAGTCGCTCGAATAGGACCATGAAACAAGTCGCTGGGCCAATATATTGTCAATCCAGCAAGGCAGTCACTCGTAAGCAGAAACACGCAATCATTCCATCCATTCTCATCCTACCCTCACCCTCCTCGTAGGTCTACCACCCTCCTCGCCCCCCCGTCTCACTCCCCAACATCCACAGCCCCCTGAGCTGAGACCCGCCATCTTCCAGCCACTCAACAAACTCTTGGACAACCAACCTCAGGCTACTCATGACGCGTATCTGAGACGGAGCTGTAGGATGTCGTTATCCCCGTCTGGCAGAAAATCTCGTCGTAATTGGGCGGCATCCAAGTATCCCCAGGCCACAAGAGTGGTGCGCATAACGAGCGGATACTATTTCAAGACCAGGGCGAATCGGGTTTGGGGGCCAGATATACGGCTGGCGCCCACAACATCAGACGGGCATCCTATATTCTCGTTCCTGTATCAGGCCTCCCCCCTCCTCTACCCAGGGGTATGTGTGCACATGACGTCTGATTACCAAGATACCCGTTACACCTCCTAAACGAGCGGATATATCGCATGAAAAAATGATCAAGCCACACGGTAATCAAGTAAAGTGGAGGCTTAGCCCCTCCCCCGATGCTGCGCCTCAAACCCACCACACACACACAGCAATCAAGCACAAGCACAAGCACAACACACTGCTGCACGCAACACATACACCCCCCCCCTCCCTATCATAACGGCCCAATCG